GGCATGCATGCAGACATGCCTGGTGTGATTTTTCAAGCTGCTAGGTCTGGGATTTAAACCATAATCAGCTGTGTGGAAGTCCAGTGCTTTAACCACCATGCTACCTGCTGGCACAATTCCCAGGGTTTTTTTTTTATTTCATTGATCTGTAAAACACACATGTATGTGCAAACATATAATTGTGTACACATATCCACACCCCAGCCTAAATGATCTCTTATCATTACCATAATAGAAAGAATTTTTTTTTTTTAAGATTATTTACTTATTTATTTCTTCTATGAGTGAGAGCGACAGAGAGAACGTCCCCAACAGGATCTTGATGCCGTAGTCTACTCTCAAATTCAGCTGGATGATGGGTTTGCGTGTCCTTGGTGTGCTTATGGAGGCCCCTGGGCAGAACTGGGAACCCTCCCATGTGAGTCAGCCTTGCAGAGCATCACATTTTACTGCTGTGCCACCATCCAGCCTCCACAAAGAACATTTCAGTGCCAAAAATGTTAGATGGAGTCTCTTTTTCTCCATTTCTCTATCCTGCTGGGATTTGGAGCATGCATGCACATATGCCCAGGAGCACATACTCTGGAGCTAGGATTCGAACCACGGTTGGCCATGTGCGTCCAGCTCCCTTAATCACTAGATTACAGAACCAGCCCAATATAATCTTTTTTATTTATTTATTTATTTTTGGAGAAAGAGATTTTTGCTATAAGACACGTGCGTTCACCAGAGAGACCAAGAGAGACAGAGACACAGAAAGTGAGAAATCACCCCCCCAGAGATGACGGCCAAGCCTCAATCTCTCCTTCTCCATTCTCTTCTTGAGATCTTGGGCTTGGCACGCACACGTACCCACATGAGTTTTAAGCCGCAGGGTCCAGGACTCAAACCACAGTTGACTACATTGGGAGTCTAGCAATGCAGCCATTATGCCACTTGCTGGTCCCTCAATATAATCTCTTAATAAAGAACCAATGTTAGGACCAGCAGGTAGCATGGTGATTAAGGCACTGTACTCCCACATGGCCAACCACAGTTCAAATCCTGGACCTGGTAGCTTGTTTTCTCACTTTCCCTTTCTTTCTGTCTCTCTCTGATCAAATTAAAAAATAAATAATAATAACAAATAAAATGAAATAAAAATGAATAATTCTTTTTAAAAAAAAAAAAAAGAGCCAATGTTTTCCAAGAACAAAACAGATGGGACTATTACTCTTGCCAGGGAAACTATTGGTCCAAGGATTAGTAGTTGAGGAGCTCATTCAGTTGGACTGGTGGGTTTCGATCCTGTGTGGATCTAAATTATCTTGGGGTACAGTGAATTCCCCAAGCTTCATATCCGTTGGACACATGTTCAGAGAAGTACTAGTTGGAGTGTAGTTTACCCTGATTCATAGTTAGGCTCTTAGTGTTCGCCTGGACATCCTGATATGCCTTAACCACCCAGGTTCTCAATGTTTACTCTTCATTTTCCATGTGAGACTGTAATCTCTGATGTCACTGATCTTATTTGTGTTAGATAAGAGTTTTGATGCTTTTCCTCCCTTTTTAAAATTGTGGTAGGAACATAAAATTTACCATCTTAATCACTTTTAAGTATATAGCTCATTATTAGTGTTTATTATATTTGTATTGTTGTGAAGCAGATTTTTTAAAGAATTATTTAGTTAATTTTATTCATCCATTCATTTATTTTTAATTTGATAGAGAGAGATACACACAAAGAGAGAGAGGGGAAGTGAGAAAGCAAGCCACCAGGTCTGGGACTTGAACCATGGTCAGCCATGCAGGAGTGTCCAGCACCTTAACCCCCATGCCACCTGCTGGTCCCTGAAACTGATTTTTCAGAACATCTTCATTTTATAAATCTGAAACTCTGGATCCATTAGAAAACTCGTCTTCACCTAGTTCCTACCAACCACCATTGTGTTTTCTGCCTGTATGAATTCAACTACTCTAGCTACTTCATGTAAATGGAGTCATGCTGTATTTGCCTTTTTGTAACTAGCTTATTTCACTTAGCACAATGTCCTCAAGGTTCACCCATGTTGTAGCATGTGTCAAAATTCCTTCCTTTTTAAGGCTGAATGCCATTTCATTGTATGCATTTAGTACATTTTGTCTATTCACTCATCAGTCGGACATTTTAGTTGCTGAAATATCTCTTGAATACCCTACTTTTAATTCTTTTGGCTATACACCCAGTAGTAGGATTGTTGGATCGTGTGGTAGTTCTATTTTGAATGTTTCGAGGAAACTCCATACTACATTCCATAGTGGTTACATTGAATGAGCCCATTGAAAGTATGCATTTTCACCAACAGTAGTTATTTTCTGCTTTTCTTTTTTTTTTTTTTTTTAAATAGTAGCTATCTTGTCTAGCCTGTGGCATGGTGGTTAAGGTGGCTGGATCCCATATGACCGACTGTGTGGTTCAAGTCCTAGAGTAAGCTGCTTGAAAAGCATGCAGAGCTCATGTATGTGTCCTCCCAAATCCTGAGAAGGAATATAGGAGAAGGGATTGCTGTGTGGCCATCCCCCCGGTGGGTAATTTGTCGCTTTGTCTCTCTGTCTCTTTCTGGCTAGCATTGCATGCCCTATAGAAAAAAAATTAACAAACTCCCAAATTTTAAAAAGTAGCCATCCTGGGGACCAGCAGGTGGCATGGTGGTTAAGGCACTGGACACTGCCTCATGGCTGATCATGGTTTGAGTCTCGGACCTGGTAGCTTGTTTACTCACTTTCCCTCCGTCTCTCTTTCTGTGTGTCTCTCTCTGGTCAAATTAAAATAAATGAATGAATAAATAAAATTAAATAAATAATTCTTTTTTTTTTTAAAGTAGCCATCCTAATGTGTGTGAGATAGTAATACTCATTGTGGTTTCAATTTGCATTTCTCTAGTAAATAATGATACTGAATATCTTTTCATATGCTTGTTGGCCATTTGTATATCATCTAAGGAAGTATATATTCAAACCCTTCCCTTCTCTCCCTTTTATAAAATTTTGTCAGAGGGTTTCTATGTTCATGCAGAGAGACAGAGAGAGCACCCACCACAGGGGATGGTCACACCAGTCACGTTTCTATTTCTTCCTCCATTAGTGATTTTGGGCATGAACACACAAATGCCTGACTTGTTTTTCTTTTCTTTCTTTTCTTTTTTCTTTTTGGAGATTTTTGCTATAAGTTACTTGCACTCACCAGAGACACAGAGACAGAAAGCAAGAAATCCCCCCCCAGGGACGGTAGCCATGCCACAGTCCCTTCTCTTCCATTCTCCTCTGGGGATTTTGGGCCCACATGCACATGCACCTGGCGTGAGTTTCAAGCTGCCAGCTCCAGGACTCAAACTGCAGTTGACCATATGGTAGTCTAGTACTTTAACCACTGTGCCACCTGCTGGCCCCATACTGGGCTTGTTTTTCAAGCAGTCAGGTCTGGGACTCAAACCGTACAGTTGGCCATGTAGGGTCCAGCCAACTTCACCATCACACCATGGGCTGGTCTCTTGTTCCATTTTTTATTTAGGTTATTTGATTATTTATGTTTTCTAAAAAATGTTTATTTCCATTTGTTATTATTAATTTTTAATTTGATCAGAGAGAGAGAGAGAAAAAGGGAAAGCGAGAAACCAAGCCACCAGGTCTGAACCATAGTCAGCCACGCGGGAATCCAACACCTTTAACCACCACACCACCTGCTGGCCCCTGGTGTTCTGTTGTTGTGAATTGTAGGAATCCTTGCTCTCCTTTCAAAAATTTGGGCATGCATGCACACATGCTTGGCATGTTTTTCAAGCCACCAGGCCCAGGACTCACACCATACAGTGAGATCCAGCTACCTTAACCACCATCTACCAGCTGTCCCTAAATTATTTTCTTAATTTCTTTCTGGATTATTCAGTTAGTATAAAAATGCAACGGATTTTTGTTATGGTGATTTTATATTTCACAACTTTTCTGAATTCATTAGTTCTAATCGATTTTTTTGTGTGGAATATTTAGAATATTCTACGCAGAAAGTCATGTCATCTGTGACCAGAGATAAGTTTACCTATTCCTTTCCAATTTGGGTGTCTTTTAAAATTTTGTCTAATTACTCTGGATAGGGCTTCTAATACCATAGAAAGTGGGGTCTTCAAAATTTTATGGAAAAATGTGTGTTTTGTAAAAACTATGCATGGATTTCAAAACTTTTTGTACCAAAATAAACTCATACTTTAATTCCATTTTTCCATAAATGTTTAGAAGTTCTCTTTTTTTTTTTTTTGAGAAATTTTTAAAAGAATGATTTACTTAATTTTATTTATTATGTTTTAATTTGACCAGAGAGGGAGAGTAGAAAAGCAAGTCACCAGATCTGGGACTCACTGTGTTTGGCCATGTGGGAGTCTAGGGCCCTAACCATCAGGCCACCTGCTGGCCCCAGGAGAAAGGTTTTTGTTATAGGGCACATGCACTCACCAGAAAGACAGAAAACAAGAAATCATCCCTCGGGGCAATGGCCACACTGCAGTCTCTTCTCCATTTTCCTCTTGGGATTTTGGGTACACACACACACACACACACACAGTGTGAGTTTCAAGCTGCCAGGTTGGGACTTGAACTGCAGTTGACCGTGTAGGAGTCCATCACCTTAACCACTATGCCTCCTGCTAGCCTCTGAGGTTGTCTTATATTAAATAGAAGTGGGGATCCTTGCTTTGTTCCTGACAGTGAACTCCTATAGGTGGACCACATTATTAATCCATTGATTTGCATATGTTGAACCATCTTTATATTCTAGGAACGAATCCTACCAGGTCATTTTGTGTAACCTTTTAACATGCTATTGAATCATGTGTGCTAGTATTTCGTTAAGGATTTTTACACTAGTATTCATCAGAGATCCTGTCCTGTCATTAGGGAAAGTGTCCAGTCTTTCTCTGATTATGATAGCTGTGGAGTTTTCATAAGTAGCCTTTATTATGGTAAAAAAAAACTTCCTTCGTTTTTTTTCATGTCAGATGGGTACTGTGCCAACGTCGTAACAAGGCTCAAGGGAGGCACATCTCACAGTGGCGTGAACTCTCAGTCATCATGTTTATGAAGCACAAAAGGATCTAAAGCAGTTTCCTTTTATTTCTGGATTGTTGAATATTTGCATCATGAAAGGGTGTTGAATCTTGTCAACTGTTTTTTATGTACCACTTGATAGGTGGTTTTTGTACTTCATTTGCCTATATGGTGGATTACATTCATTCATTTGCATCTGTTGAGCCATCTTTAATTCCAGGAATAAATCCTACCAGGTCATTTTCTCTAACCTTTTAATATGCTATTAATTATGCTTGCTAGCATTTTGTTAAGGATTTTACATCAATATTCATCAGAGATACTGCCCTGTAGTTTTCTTTTAGTACCTTTGTGTGACTTGGTATAGAATGCTGGCATCCTAGATCGAGCGTGGAAGTATTTCTCCCTCATCAGTTTTTTGGAAAGGTTTGTGAAAGCTTGGCATTAATTCTCCTTTAAATGTTTGGTAGCATCCTCCAGTGAAGCCATCTGGCCCTGAGCTTTTCTCTGTTGGTGCGTTTTTGATTACTGATTCAATCTCCTTACTCATTATTAATCTTTTTTCCTTCTCTGTTTCTTCATGATGAGTCTTAATAAGTCGTGTCTCTAGGAATTTATTAATTTCTTCAAGGTTATCCACTTGGTTGGTGTACCAGTTGTTCATAGTATTCTCTTAATAACCTTTTTGATTTCTGTGGTGTTATAGTGTCCTCTCTCTCACTTCTGATTTTAGTTATATGAGTCTTCTCTTTTTTTCTTTCTGTCAATTTTCATGATCTTTTAAAAAAATGTACTCTTAGAGGACCAGCAGATGACATAATGGTTACATCATTGGACTACCACATAGTCAACCGTTCAAGTCCTGGACCCAGCGACTTAAAACTACACGTGGGGGCCAGCAGGCAGCATGGTGGTTAAGATGCTAGACACCCACATGACTAACTACAGTTTGAATCCTGGACCTGGTGACTTGCTTTCTCACTTTTCCCCTTTCTCTCTCTTTGTCTCTCTCTCTCTCTCTCTTACTCTGTCCCTCTCTGGTCAAATTAAATAAATAAATAAAGTTAAACACAATAATTCTTTACAAAAAGAACAAAACAGACTCACGCCAGGAGCATGTATGTGCTTGCCCAAGATCTTAAGAGAAATGGAGAAGGGATTGTGGCATGACCATCCCCCTGGGGGATGGTTTCTTGTTTTCTGTTTCCCTGTCTCTCTGTCTCTCTGGCAAGCACACACGCCCTATAGCAAAAAATGAAACAACAATAAAAAAAAAATTCTCTCTCTCTCAAAAAAAAAAATTGCTCTTAGTTTCATTGTTTTTCTTTTTCTCTTACTCTTAGTTTAATTGTTTTATTGTTTTTCTTTTTCTTTTTAATATTGCCAGTGGGTGTGTGCACTTGCCAGAGACAGACAGAAACAGAGAAAGAGGGAAGGGGAAGCATCCCCAAATGGGACATGGTCATGCTGCAGTCTCTTCTCTATTTCTCCATCCTGAAAAGATTTTAGCCATGCACACACACATGCCCAACATGTTTTTCACGCTACCAGATCCAGGATTTGCCCTGTGGCTGGTTTCCTTAACTACTATGTCATGGGGCCAACCCAGTCTGACAAATTTTTGTTCTTTATTTTGTTTATCTCTACCCTAATCTTTATTATTTCTTAACTTCTGCTAGCTTTGGGTTTAGTTTGTTCTTTTTTTTCCTTTCTCTCACTCTTTTTTTTTTTTTTTTAATACTATAGGGCACATGCACTTGCCAGAGAGAAACAGAGAGAGGAGGGAAAATGAGAAATCATCCCCAGGGAGGATAGTTACATCATAGTCCCTTCTTTCCACTCTCTCGGATTTGGGGCATGCATGCACATATACACAGCATGTTCTGATTTTTTTTTTTTAATTTAACTTAAAAAAATACTTAGTTTTATTTATTATTATTATTACTATTATTATTATTTTAAATTTGCTACAGGGCATGTACGTTCACCAGAGAGAGACGGGGAGAGAGGGAAAATGAGAAAGCAAGCCACCAAGCCCAGGATTTGAATGGCAGTCAGCGATGTGGGAGTCTAGTGCCTTAACCACCCCATCACCTGCTGGCCCCGTACTGTGATTTTTTAAAGCCAGTTGGCCATGTGAGATCCAGTCACCTAAACGTTCATGTTACCTGCTGGCCCTGTTCTTCTTCTACTTTTTTATATGTGAAGTTAGGTGGTTGGTTTGAGATCTTTCTTCCTTTAAATCTGCGATAGGGCGTGTGTTCTCACTGGAGAGTGACAGAGAGAGAGAGAAAGCTCCCCTTGAGGGGATGGCCTCATGGGAGTCTCTTCTCCTCTTAGTATTTTGTGTGGCACGTTTTTTGAGGCACTGGGTCTGGGACTTGAACTGCATAGTTGGCCATACACCTTAACCACCACACTACCAGTTGGTCCAAGATTTTTCCTCTTTTTAAACACACTTTTACAACTATGAACTCTCTTACCACTGACTTGTTCTGCATCCCATAAGTTTTGGTATGTCTTGCTTTCATTTTCATTTGTCTCAAGGTATTTTCTAATTTCCATTGACTTGTATTTCCTTCTTTTTCTTTTAACCTTGGGCTGTTTAGGGCTTGTCTTGATGGTGAAGTGGTAACGCACTGCACCACAGTGCCGGGTTTTTAATGAAAAGTTAGGGTTTGGTTCTTGAGTCAGCCTGTGCATGCTGGGCACTCACAGCACGCCAGCGATCCTGGCTGGTGGGGAAGGCTACAGTGAAGATTGTAGCATGAGAGTCTTGAAGGTGTTGTCTTCCCACCCACCTCCCTCCCCCCCGAAAAAATAAACTTTTTTCAAAAGTGGGCTGGTTTTTTTTTTGTTTGTTTCTTTCTTTTTTGTTTTTGTTTTTTGAAGAGGTTTTCGCTATAGGACGCGTGTGCTTGCCAGACAGACAGAGACATAGAGACAGAAAGCGAGAAATCACCCCCAGTGGGGATGGTCACACCGTAATCCCTTCTCCTCCATTCTCCTCTCGGGATCTTGGGCACGCACGCACACGCGCCCAGTGTGAGTTTTAAGCCACCAGGTCCGGGATGTGAACCGCGGTCGACTACTTGGGAGTCCAGCGACATAGCCATTACGCTAACTGCTGGTTCCCCAAAAGTGGGCTGTTTAATTTTCACATATTTGTAGATTTTCCAGTTTTCCTGTGCTGTTACTTCTGGTTTTATTCTGTTGTGAATGGAATAGATCTTTTGTATGACTTCAATCTTCCCGAATTTGTTAAGACTTGTGGCTTAAGATGCAGTTTGTGGTGGAGAATGTTTCACATGCACTTGAGAAAAATGTATCTCCTGCTGTTGTTGGGTGGAATGTTCTATGTCTGTGAGGCCCAATTGATCCGTAGTGGTCAAGTCTTCTGTCTCCTTACTGATTTTCAGTCCAGTTCTTGCCATTACTGAAAATGGATTGTTAAAGTTTCCCACTATGAGTATTATCTCATTGCTGACTATTCTACCACTCAGTTCTGTTTAAGTTGCTCTCGTATGTTTAGGACCTCTAGGTTTGGTGCATATATATTTACAGTTATTTTATCTTTATGATGAGTTTTCCTTTAACCATAGTGTTCTCTTTTTGTCACTTGTAATGGTTTTTTATTTCAAGTCTATTTTGTCAGACTTTAGTATAGCTATCCTGTGTGCTTTTACTTACCATTTGCATGGAATATCATCCTTTTCCTTTTCAGTTGGTATATTCTTAGATTTAAAGTGAGTCTGTTGTAGACAGCATATAGTTGGATCCTTTTTTTTTTAAGAATTAATTAATTAATTAATTAATTTAATTTGACCAGAGAGGGACAGCGCAAGTGAGAAAGAGAGAGAGAAAATGAGAAAGCAAGCCTCCAGGTTCGTGATTCAAACCACAGCCATGTGAGAGTTCAGTGCACCACACTACCTACCGGCCCCACCTATTTTTTATTTTAACCCATTCCTCCAATCTATGTCTTTTGATTTTAGAATTTAACCTATTTAGGGAACCAGCAGTTAGTGTAATGGCTATGTCGCTGGACTCCCACGTAGTCGTCCGTGGTTCACGTCCTGGACCCGGTGGCTTAAAACTCACGCCGGGCACGTGTGCGTGCGTGCCCAAGATCCCGAGAGGAGAACGGAGGAGAAGGGATTGTGGTGTGACCATCCCCCCTGGGGGTTGATTTCTCGCTTTCTGTCTCTCTGTCTCTGTCTGTCTGTCTGGCAAGCGCATGCGCTTTACATTTACATTTAAAGCTAATTACTGATAAGAAGAGAAGAACTTAATATTGCCACTTTGTTCATTGTTTTCTCTGTCTTCTAGATTTTTCATTCCTCCTTACCTTTCTGACTGCCTTCTTTTGTGTTTGTTTTTTGTAGTGATAATGCTTTGATTTCCTTTTTACTTACTCAGTGCATTTATTTTTTCCTTAAGTTTTTTTTTTCCTTTACTCATGAATAGAGTACATGCATGCACATGCGAGAGCAAGTGGTGAAAGAGAGAGAAAGGAGCACCCTCCACAGGGTCTCAGCTCCGCTTCAGACAGGCCTCTAGCCCACTGCATCTTGAGAACTCACACACGTGACCCACATGTTTCAGGCTAGGCTGGAGATTCACGCCATGTTTACCATGTGGGATCTGGCTTATTTTGAGCAGTATGTTACCACTGAACCGTGGGGCCAGCCTCTTACTTACTCAATTTATATTGTTCCATAAACTTTTCTTTTACCCACCTTTCATTCTCTGGTTCTTAAAATAACAGTTGTAACGGCCAGTAGGTGGAGCGTTAGTTGAAGCACTAGACTCCCACATGGCCGACCATGGTTTGAATCTCAGATCTGGCAAGTTGTTTTTTCACTTTTCCTCTTTCTCTCTCTGGTAAAAATAAAAAGGAGAATAATAATGAATAATTAAATAATTTTTTAGAGGTTTTTGCCTTACGGCATGTGTGCTCCTCAGACAGAGACAATAAGAAGGACAGTGAGAAATCACCTCCCCAGTGTGGATGGCCCTACCACAATCCCTTCTCCATTCTCCTCCC